CGCAACATTGATCGTTTTGAGGAAAAACGCCAATGGTTTTTGCAAAAGTTGCTCTCCTGAAAACCTACCGTACTGCCTATAGTTCCGAATTGCAAAATGCTATCCAACTGATACCAGACGATACTCAATAGATATGTGTTGAGCCTCAATAGGTAACAGTTGAAATTTGCTACGTATCACTTGAGGTTCAATTGATATCGGTTCAGCATGAACTGACATCTGTTGAACATCAACTGATCCAAACAGAAATTCAATAGACGTCAACTACAAGTTTATACCTACTTCTGCCGCAATCAGACGCTGAATTTAGCAGCTGAATGTGGAAGTCAACAGTCATCGTCCAACGGCTGAAATTTAGCAAATTCGAGTTATTTTCATCCAGATGTGTATCAAATCTACTCGAATAGTTCAGACAAATTCAAAATTGGTCCGATGGTTGTTGAAAATCGTTGCTGAATTTTGCGCGTCACGCGCAAAATTCAAGCATCGGACCGATGACTTCCACATTCAAGCCACATTCAGCTCCCACATGCAGCGTGTGATTGCGGTGTGTGTCAATTAAGGCTTCGTATGCATATTGAGAGGACGATCTCGTTGGCATTTTTGACAACTCTGTCAAAAAGGTCCCATGGGGACCCATGGGAGAAATCCCCATGGATTCCCCATCAATATTTCCCATGGGGTTCCATGGGGTCCCCACGGGGATCCGGGAATCGATGGGGATTTTTTTGTCAGGGTATGTATTATTATTAATCATTAATTGCAAAAAATGGATAAAATTGAATTATTTTTGAAAAAAATTATTCACTTGCATATCCACAAGTGTCGAATACTCCACATGGCAAGTACCCACCAACTTGCAAATTTTGACCTACCTATCGGGATGTGAGCCTGGGAGCTACAGTTTACGAGCCTAACACCCTACCTATTAGGCAATCTGCACATCAATCTATTAGTTGCAAGAATCAAACGATTTTGTTGCAACCTCTGCTATTTGAGTAGTTTTTTTTTCGTCGGAGCTGATCATACCTACATTTTACCGTTCCCCAAGAGATTTTCAAATAAACCATTTAACATACTTACAATTAGATATCTCTCTACGCGGCCAAACCCCCTGGAGGGCTCTTGGTGCGCATATGCGTTTATGCGAGGTTGTGCCAACGCCACAATCGAAGCCGGAAGAATGAGGAAAAATTGAGTAAAAACCTTATACCTTGGACCTTGAACCTTGAACCCTAAGTGATGCACCGTTCCTCAACTCTCGGAATGATGAGCCCTACACGAGGTTTTTCATTGTTCTATTGTTTAATGGAGTCACTCAGGTAGAATCCCAGACCTCGACGTTTCTAGCGGAAACGACATATCTCTCCCGCTATTACTATTGGACATACCTAAGTGACATGAGCTTTAAAAGCTCTACAACATTGAAAGCTCGGGGTTTCATAATTTTTTGCACATCTACAGCTAATAGAGATGACATCCATGTAGGTAAAGATCATCCTTATCGTTCCTGTAGTTCGTCAGAAATAGTGCTTCCAAGATTTTGCTTGTAGCTGTATAATATAGATAGGTAACCTCTCAGAATGTCTCCTAAGAAAGTCGTTAATGAAACGCACAGAATGATATTTAAATTGAGGATTACATGCTGCATGCCGTATAAGGCTAATTTTTTGTAGTTTGAAAGGGTCCGGTTCGAATTAGAAAACATGAGCCAAGATAACAGCTTAATGAAGCCTCAAGGCGGGACGATGTGACACGCGTAGCATACGCGAGGCAAGTGACAGCCGGGATTTGTGCCCGAGTTGAGATTGCGTCAAAGTCAATTTCATTCATACGCAATGTGCCCAGTGTTACCAAGTGTTAAACAAATACGTAATGGGAGACTCCAAAGGAACAAAAATTATATTCCTACTGCATTATATCCGTTTCACACGAGAGTGGCTCTGAGAAACTCAAACAATCATAAGTAGGTAATGCAGATGGTATGTTACATATTGCAGATTAATTTGTACATTGTGCAGATGTACCGGACCCATTTTCCATGTTGGCCTCTTGTCGGTCGTTTTTGTATAAGCACTGTAAGTGGTCTAACTGTCTACTATCTATGGTTATGGTACAAAATTAATAACCCACATTTCAAGGAACATTCCGTTGAGCTGACGGTTTATCCATCTACCTACTTTTTTCCACTTAAGTACTCATGCGATTCGATTTCGATGATTTGTGAAGTCTTATTCATAGAATAGATTTTTTTCGTATGGTAAAGTATCATTAGGTACCTCAAAAATCCTGAGCATGTCATTTTATGTGAATCGGTCTGCACAAAAATGTTTTTCTTTTTCATTGTAAAGTATCATTATTATTGACTTCCTTAATTATCCTTACTCTTAGCATATATATATTTGATAATTCATGTCATTTCGTAGCTTGGAAAATTACTTTTAGCCATTGATAGGGTATAGTTGCTAGATGAGCCCGCTTTATCTCGATCAATCCACGACGGTTCTGCAAAGCGGACCGGAAAATTGGTAAGAAAATAATCCGAACCACTCGCAGCGTATTACCCAGAGCACTAGGCTTTGTCCACACGAACGCAGTTTGGGAAAACTGATTCCAGGACCTGGGGGTTAGAGGAACAAGTTATACCTCATTGGACGTATTTTTATCAAACAAAACTAAGCGCCAAAGGGCGAGGAAGGGAGCGGGGAGCTTGGATTGGCGGATGTTGCGAAACGCGATGCTAGTCCATCCTATACTCGCAAATGCTTTTCCACGGCGCTTGGTTCCGTTTGACAGAACGCGCTATTCGGGATTCTAAAATCCTCAAAAGGAACTCAATTTGGCACCTATTAGTTCTGTTTAACAGAAATACATCCAATTGTAAGTTGTAATCAGTTCCTGGAACAAGTCCGAAGTTTCGCAAACCGCCCTCGCATGGACAAGTCCCTAGAAAAAAATTCCTGATGGTTGCAAAAAGGGAGCTACATACTCTTCAGTTTTTCGGTCACGATAATTCTTTAAAATTGGCGACTATGTAGATTTGGGCGGGAAATTTCGAGGGAAACGAAAGAGGCCGCGGCATGATAGCGGGATAGCGAATGAACGGTTAAATATGACTTCCCCAGTTACATTTGACGCATTTTTACATTTTCTTCCCCCGCGTCTCTTGCCTCGGTCACAGCGACTTGATTGTTTTTTACGTCTCAATGCACATTCCGCGGTACATTCCGCGTGGTCGCTGCGCGCAGCAGGAGTTCGACGTTGCCAGATCTCGCAATTTTATCAGTATTGATGGTGAGAATCTCAAAACACATAGGTAGTTTTTCACGTTTTTAACACTGAAGTTTTCGCGGCACATTTTATCCAAAATACATTTTCTCTTTCTTTCTTCGTAAATTACGATAATTACATTTGCATCTTTCTATTTTTAATCTTATATCCGTCATACATTATTCAAATTTACAGTACTTGTTAAAATCCTCTTCGGAACCGTGGGAGAAGCACTTGAGAAGTATGTCAATTAACATTTTTCAACAGATTTCATGTGTGTAAAATATTCTGTATTAATTAGGTACCGAATACCGATTATTCGTTTGTCTAAAAAGAAAATAAAACAACAGTAGAAAGATTTTAAAAGGTCACAATAGAAATGCATGCTTTACAACTTTCACCATCGAAATTTGGCCGTCCACGTCGGATAAGGGACCTACGTTCATCAAAACTCAAAACTGATTTACCTACTAATGCCAGAGCATTCACCCAAATAGCATTTTTCAACGGAAAAATCGAGATATATTGCAATTTTAGTGGTGATAAAATCGCTAGAATCATCAACACCTAAGCGATTCTCCCCGATCTTGTCCCTGCGTCCCTGCGATGTGTAGCGATTTAATCGTCATAGGTATCGTAATTTTTAATGGGATAAGATCTTAATATATTGCCACCGATATCATCGCTATAACCAACCGATGACATTGCTATTTATCGCGATCACTGGTACTTGGGAAAGGAATGCCTTACAGGCATTCTGAGATTAATAAAACAGTCCACTTATATTTCAAACTACAGCGGAACTATAAATCTAGGACATACACCCGACTGGAGTACATTAGATTTTTAAAGATGTTAGCGTCAATCGAACCTTCCCGACCATCTACGAACTGAAAGACATGCACGTTTGGGATTGTCAAAGGGAAATCGTACCGCGAAAGAACTCCAACCCCCCAACTACGAGGATATACGTTTCTCGTCGAGGAAGTTTTGATTGGCAAGAAAATCTAAGACTATTCGTCAAGTGGTTGCGTCTCATCGCTGTTGTTGGAATGACTTCCACGGTGATAGTAGCGGTCGAAAACTCAACCGACGCTAACATCACATAGGGTACGTGGGGGCAAAAGGCCGCACTAAAGTTTTTTTCCGAGGATTGTTAGGTTGGCGGGGACCGCCGGGACCGTGTCAGTTATGTTGGTAGTGGTGGTGTTTTTGTGTTGACTGTGTTGGAAATGCTTTAAAATTCTGAAAAGTGTGTCATTTTGTGCTTAAGGGTCCATAGTTGACATTTTACCACATTTCCGCAATTTTCATGAAATACGGTGGCCGACAGACGGACGCAACGGAAAAATGCAGCTTTTAACTCCCACCTACCCGTCCGATCAGTTAGGAAATCAAATGCGCACCATTTGCCTTTGAGAATGTTCTTCTATTCATCTTGAATGTCCTGACACTCATACGATTCCATTCCTCTGTTCTAAGTACTAATCGCCCGGCTGTAAATTTCGTCCCACTAGATCGTCCTGACAAAAACACCCGAAGAATCGATAATGTAAAAATCCAACTTAGGGTACCTAAAAGAAGGAGCGAGGATTGAAAGAGACGGTAACAATACGGTAATGATAATGATAATTATAACGGTAAAAATAACAATAATGGTAACGCTAACGATATCGGTACCTAATGGAAACGGTAAAGATAACTCTAACGATTCCACGCGGCACATCAGCTTACGCCATTTTGGTACACGATGTTATGTACTCGTACCAATCACTGTCAGGAACTGTTAAGAAATTACATTAATATCATTATAATTCTCAAAAACTTCCAAAAACCAGATATTCTCCAAATTTTACTGGAATTCCCATCTGCATAAGATTTACAGAGGGCTCATGCCAAGGTAATTCTGGATTTTCCGGCGCACTGTAACGTACCTAACTCTATAGCTATAAAATAGGTATCTGAATAGCTATTTAATAGGTATATGGAAACCTATTAAAAAGGTATTTTACTTTTGAAAGAGAACCAAAATTGAGACCTTGAAAATCATAAGGTGGTAAGTGCATTGATACGTTGCCAAGATTGTGCAACTGTATACGATAAATGCAGCAAATCAAAACCATGTAGAGGCGAAACTTTTTTAGCAAAAATTCCCTGGGCTATGCTGATTTTTTTTTGCATTGAAGTTTGCAATTCTATATGATTTTGGTTTGCAAAAAATAAAGTTGCTCTATCATATCAACGTTGCAATGCACTTTTCATCTTATGGTTCTCAAGGCTGCAACTAAGAATAGTAAGAAAATTCACTAACATGTTTGAGAAAATACACAATAATTCTCGGGTTTCTTAAAGAGGGTTATACAAAATCGGCGATTTTACCCCCTTCTTGGATTTTGCCCGGAGTTGGATATGTTGTTCCCTATCACAAGACACGCCTTTTTCCGGCGTTGGCAAGTTCACCCGAAAATTTTCCCGCGCGCTACAGCGTTGCCAAGTTGAAAACAGGCAAATTCCATAAGTGACGTTAAAATTGAGCTATGAAGTTGGGGTTTTAACGAAAATTCTCTAAAAATTGCGTACTTTTAGGAAATGACCATCAATTTAATGTCCCATTAATTTTAACATGCATTGTTGCCAATTTTTCGATTTTTTAATTCGACTAATTTTACAAATCCGCAAATACCCAAAAAAGCTATCTTCAAATTTGAATAAAAAGTTATCCAATCGATAGTTCGTTTGATTCCGCATCCATCGATATATTATAGCTCGCTGGGAAACTTTTGGTTCGCGAGATATCATCTTTTTTGTAAACAGCTTTATGGAGCAACGACGCTTTTTGAGTCCGGGCGGATAGAAATTTTAGCCTCCAAAAACACAGGTCAGCATTAATTCCATGGTTTCCTATGCAATTTTTGGCGCTGAATCCGAATTTGACCATTTCATAACAAAATTGTCACCAAGAAGTTGCCAAATTTGGCAAAAATGGCTTAAAATCGGCCTTTTCGGCGGATTATGGCCAGTGACTTGCCAGGAGTTGATCGGACGACAAAATTGGTTATTTCCACAGTTAAAACTCGTTGAACTTTCTACAAGCTGAGTCAAAATCTTTCTACTCACGGCAAAATTAAACGCGCGACAAGCAGCAAACTGAAAAAAAGACACCAAAATCGGCGCTTTTTGCGGTTTTTGTCCTAAGTTTCTTGTTTTCC